AATATTTTTTCACTGGCCCTCCACCAGTTCAATGTGGGATTTTAGCTATTTTGTGAGAGGAAGTAAGATGTCGTATGGGAAGTTAGCATTTTCCTGCACTGGATATGTATTTCTGATAGATATTTACCTCATCTCACATTTCCCACCAGCCTACCCACTTCCGGTGATATGTGGTGTTGGTCTTCTGACCGATCTCAAAGTGAGTAACGAGTGCAAATTTAAAGAGGACGCTTGTTACAATAGGGGTTGTGTCATGCTCCTATTGCTGGAGAGCTGTTGCATGATCATTTGCATGTGGATATGCAAAAGCAGGAGGTGGAAGGCTAGTGTTGAGGATTCAAAATTTGCATCTACAGAGGGTAGTACTAATTGAGAAAAAATATTTTGTGAGAGGAGGTAAATACCTATCGGAAATACATTTCAGTGTAGGAAAATGCTAACTTCTGTGTTATTCCATGTGTATGCCTTTCTCCAAGGAAAGGGTCATTCTCCCCACCATTTATTTTTCCTGACAATTCCTCTTCCCCTTCCTTCCTCCTGGTCTCCACTTTGCTGCCCTAGGCAGCTTCCTAGGTCACCTACCCCTTAGACTGTTCCTAGATGTACTTTAGTTTCAAAACCACAGTTATATAGAAATAGTTGTGCCACCTTCTCTTTCAAATAAATGTGATTTTGACACAAACTCCAACATAATTTAGAATGGTTTAACCACAAGATAGCAAATGCCCAAGAAATGTACTTAAATTTCAGTGAGCCTGTTCATGGTTGCCTTTGGTGCTATTAATTAAACATTTCTGTTGCTATTAGCTGGCAAATTAAAACAAAAATATTTACTTAGAAAAAAACACAGAAATTATTAATCTAATTTTACAGTTATGAAAACCAAAATTAACATTATCTATAGTTTTGAAATATTTTCAGTTTTGGCTCTACTGATCAGTAAATGTTTGTATATTACCTGATACTTGAGTATTCCAATCTGTGGATAAGTCAATCATTAAAAAAGAGCATATTTTCTCCTTTCAGCTGGTTGATTATCTAAATAATGGAGCCATCATGGTACAGGTCTGGGGGAAACAAAAAATTCGAAACTCGGTCATCCCTAAGGCTGAAGGAAAAAATACTAAACAGATGTTTCAGGCCGATCTACTGAATCATGCTAACAACTTGGCTAACGGTTTTAGGATGAATGGCAGAGTATGTTACCTTTATTTAAAATAAAACACAGAGAAAAATATTGTTAATAAATGTAAAAAATGATTTAATATAAACATTAATTTAATTTTGTTCAGTTGGGTCTAGCATTGTCAAAGTAGGTTGATACACTTGAATTACTGCTTAAACTTGTTCATCCTAGTGTTTTGTAAGTGTATATATGCAGTTGAATTAAAAATCTACATATATTATATGTGCTGAAAGCTTAAGTTCCCTTAAATAAATAAATATGTATGTATTTAAATTAAGGGTAATATATTATTTTATTTTTAGTCCAATATCACCATAGTCAATGCACATACAGTTTCTTTCTATCGCTTATGATTTTCAATAAGTCTAAACTTTGGTTAAATACTTTCCTGGTTTATGGTCTTCTTTATACCAACTTTGTTTTAGTGCAAACTTTATCTAATATGACTTGCATTAATTGCTTAAGTTTATAATGTATTATGGTTTACTATATTTTGATGTGTGCTTGCAAGAGGAAGCTTGTCATTATGTAATGGTGACCCAGCATCTAGAAGATTTGTTTACTATGAAGAAATAAAAATACAATATACAACTACCAGAGTGTAATAATGATTCCAATAAATTAGTTATTCAATTCAGTATCTGTTAGTAAGCTATTCAGTGAAATAGTCAGCATGTTTCTTGACATTGTTGGCAATTGATTTATTACTGAGAAAACTCTGCAAGTACATTTATTTGTGAGTTAGGAATAGATTGGTTTTCAGAATTTCTTTTGAAACATTGCTAGTGAAATTAGTCCTACAAGTGAGCATAGCCTTTGGCAAACGTTACTGAAGAAATTAACTTATCAATACATGGACTGGACTTGACTTTATTTTTACCAAATAACCTAAAAGAACCCACCCAAGGATATAACAGGTGCCAGAAATAGAATTAGAACATTGACTAAACTTCAAGATGAAAACAATAAGAGCATATAGCTAGATTGAAAATTTGCTGGATATGATGAAACAGTGGAAAGGTTTGTTTGTTTAAAATTTTGTGCAAAGCTACACAAGGGCTATCTGCATTAGCCATCCCTAATTTAGCAGTGAAAGACTAAAGGAAAGGCAGCTGGTCATCATCACCCACTGCCAACTCTTGGGCCACTCCTTTACCAACAAATAGTGGGATTGATTGTACATAATAACACTCCTACAGCTAAAAGGGCAAGGATGTTTGGAGAGACAGAGATTTGAACCTGTGACTTGCAAATTACGAGTCTAGTGCCCTAACCACCCGGCCATGCTGGGCCATCACATTAGTGTTGAATCGTAAATTAATCCTAAGAATTTTACAGATGTGGTGACTTTGAAAAAAGAAGATCGAGTGAAGGTGAAAGAAATTGAAAATTAAAAGAAGATCAAGAAGAAACATAAATTTGAAATATTGTTAACATGTTAATTTTAGTGCAAAGCTACACAGTAGTCTATCTGTGCTCTGTCCACCACATGGGAATTAAACCCTGGATTTTGCCATTGTAAGTTCGTAAACTTACCATTGACCCACTGGAGGATGAAGAAAACTTAAAAGAAAAACAAGAAAAAAGATAGAAAAATAAAAGACAAAGACGAAATTTACAGAAAATGAAAACAAGGACAAGAAGAATGTGATAGGAATTAAAAGAAATAGATCTACTATTAAAGAAAAGTTAAAGTTGAAAATAAATCTGATTTAGATAAATCACTGTAGCTCTTGGAGATTTACAGAGGGAGTGCAAAAACAAATTTGAAGTATTTGTTTTGTTTGCTTGTTTTTGGATTTTGTGCAAAGTTATTTGAGGGCTGTCTGTGCTAGCCATCCCTAATTGTCAAGTGATTAGAAGGAAAGTAGCTAGTCAACAACACCCACCTCCAACTCTTGGGCTACTCTTTTATCAACGAATAGTGAAATTAACTGTTATATTATTGTATGCCCATGGCAGGAAGGGTGAACATGTTTGAGGATGAGATTCAAACTCATGACCCTCAGATCCTGAATCCAGTGCTTTAACCATCAGGCTATGCTACAACAGTTTGAAGTAAAACGACTATAACAGCAAGATCAATAAGATAGAAAATAACTTCAATAACAGAATAAAACATTTTGAAAATAAATTAGTAAATGCAAAAATCAAACCAGCCACATCTCTTTCTTCTATATTCACCCAAAAATTCCAACCTAAGATACTATTTACTATAAAATATGGAATAGGAGAAACTACTTGATTTACATCTGTCGTTCACAGCTGCTGTGCCATCTGTAACAGAAGGATCTTCCTGGATTATTCTAGTTAGGTTACTATCAAACCTGTTCCAGAAACTTGCTGACCTCTTCAACAACATCATCTGATTAAGAAACCAATGAACTTTGATGGAAAGGTACCAAGGGAGGTATATCAGGCTTGGTTTGAAACGAATTTCATCATGGATGAGTGGAATAATGTATGACAAACTATTATTTTCACTGCACGTTTAAAAGGACCAGCTTTAACAACTTTCCATCTAAGAGCCATAACAATTAACATTGGTAGCTAGGTGCTTTATCTAACAAATCCTGAAGGACAGATCAAAAGGAAGTATCAAAAGAAAGTTCTGGAGCAGGGTATGGATGAAATAAGAAACTATAGGTGAACTTGCTAAAAATTTGGAAAATCTTAACCAGTTATCTTACTCAGATGCTTCTTGTGAAGTAATAAATTTGGTGGAACATGATCGATCTTTAGATGCCATAACAGACAAGGATATGAAAATCATGCTGAAGCAAAAGAGGTGTATACTTCTAAAGGATATTTTAATCCATTAAAGTCATGAATAAACAACTAAAGGCCCCATCTATAAGTTATTGGATTATCAAATCATATAGCATGGAAATATCAACTTCCCTGATGGTAGTGAAGAAGAACTAAAGCTAATTAGTTAGATAACTAACTACTCAGAATAGTAGGTGTAACTTGAAAGGATATATTTCCAGGAACTACATACAAAAGCCAGCAGGGAGCATAAACTCCACCCAAAGGATATCAGGAAAAGAAAATCATTATATATTTAATAAACATGATCATCACACCTGAGGCTGTGAGGAATCATCAGCTGTTAATAAACCAAGGCAACAATATCCTAAGGATGAGTCTCAGAACCACACAAGATTGAAGCAGCAACAAAGACCTAATCAGGTTTCAGCTGAGGACACTACCTGCTACAAATAAAAGGGTTGTTAATTAAAGAAGCTAGTCCACAAGTCCATGCATTTTTTGATGGGAAGCATTGCAGTTTGTTGATCAACACAGGTTCTACAGCTACAATTTTTCGACCTGATTTTAGTAATTAATGCTGAGAATTTGCCTCCAGAGATGAAGAAATAAGGTAGCTTGATGCAAACAGCAAGTGGACATAAAGTTCCAACAACTGGAAAGTTGAAAATTACCCGTACTGTTGGATGCTTCTTTACACCATATGATGTGTAGGTGATTAACATTAATAAAAAGTACACATGAAACTGGCTTCATGTGGAGAAATGAATGTGAGGTTAGACTAGTTTTATAGTCTGTTACCAGAAAATCCATGTGTACTAAATGACAATTACTACACTAGAGGTTAAACTTCCAGTGACAACAAGGAGAGCATTCATTGTGCCACCAAGAAGTTAAGTGGTCGTACCAGGACTTATTAGGAATACATTTACATTTAGTGATTGAGATGTAGAATAACCAAATACTCCTGCTTGTCCTGAGGGATTGCTGTTGGTTGGAATAACTCTCGTGGGTCTAAAGAATAAAGATGTTATCATTGAGGCAATGAGCACAACATGGCATAAAAGTTGAGCCAAATCTTGATGGGTTATTGCAAAATGTTAATCTTTACAGGTAATATTTCCATATCAAAAACATCAGAAGTAGTCACCTTTAGGCAAGATGTAGGAATTCTGATATCATATCATCACAAAATGACACCTTACTATCTCACATACAAGAGCTGTGGAGGTCATACAGCTGATCAGTACTGTATATTACATGACTTGTTGACAGAGTATCAAGATACCTTCTCTAGTGGAACTCATAACTTAGGCCAAACAAAGAAGGTTTCTTATAAGATTGATACTGGAGATACAGCTCCAATATGCTAGTTAGATGGACAGTTCCCAATGCAAAACAAGCTGAAACTTTAAACAGATGGAAGTCAGGAAAGAACAAGGATTAATATAACTTAGCACTAGTACTTAGGCATCACCTATCATAGTTGTGAAGAAGAAGGATGGATCTATGAGGTTCTAGGTAGACTACTGGAAGGTGATTGAAGTCACAAAGAAGGATGCCTACTGAATGCCAAGTATTGACCCTACTTTGGATGCTCTTTCTATATAAAAATGGTTTTCATCATTGGATCTTAAGAATTAATATTTGCAAGTGCAGATTGATGAAGCAATTAAAGACAAGACAGTCTTTACTGCAGAAAATGGATGATGGCAATTTGTTGCATACTCATCTACTGAGGATAGGCAATCAGTAGCATCTTACATAGAATATGCAAGAGACTAAGGGGTATCATTTATGTCATACATGACTTGACCCAGGAAATATTTAAATGACATAGTGATAGAATGAAAAGTCATTAAGATGTTAATGTTGATGACTGGATTTCTTTGAGTTAGTGTGATATGGTTGTACTATCCCCATCTCAAAAGAAGATGAACTCCAAAACTTAATCCAATGTTGGAAAAGCCATATGTTGTAATGAAAATAATGAATGATGTAGCTTACAGAACCCAGTAGGACAGGAATTCCAAGCAAAAAAATCATCCACTCTGATTGTCATTCTAAGTATGTTAGTGAGAGAATGGCTAATTGATAATTTCAGAGAAGAATTTGCCAGCAGAAAGTCAACCTGCAGAAGAGCCATAAATTTCTGTTGAGATCACTTCAACAGGATCACCAAGGATAGAGCAACCAGTGAATTCACTCAACCACCTTCCTAGGGAGAATTCCCCCACTGACA